CAGGACCAGAACAAGCACACTTGTTTTGTTTGATTGTTGGGCTGTACGCGGTTCATGCCCTACATGTTTAAAGTTTCACCACATTGAGTCCGTGCATGTCTGCACAAATTCAGCAAGCAGAGATGCATGGTCGAGACGGGCCAATCTCACCTGCAGGTGTGCACACCAATCTCGGTCTCCACACGTCTGGCCTGCAGCGCCTGGGGCTCCTTATGGAGGAAGCCTCATTGGACACAAAACAGCGAAACGGAAGAAACCATGCTTCAGCCGCTTCAACCAATGTCCATCGCACAAGCCCTCACCTAGCATGGTGGTGAAAGGAGAGCCAAAGACCGGCGATGGTGCTGGTAAAGCCTCAGTGTGGAAAATCAGCAAGGCATCATGTTGTCCATTGTCAATCTACAATTCTGGCTGTATCCTGCACACATCTTCACTTTGTCTCTATCTGTTCAAAAGAAATCCATCCGGTCGGTCCGATCAGTGGCCAATCGAACAATAGACCATCAGTGGCGCCTTCAGACATGATCTGCTGCACTCCTAGCCACACCACTCATAGACAGAAAAAGGTAAGAATGTCGAGAACCTATTGATATTCCATTGTGCAAAAGAGAATAAACCACGCACGGGCTTCACAATGCTGGCAGGATCTACATGACTTGTAGAACTCAGATCAGCATGCTTCTACAATGGGCACCATAAACCATATAATCCTTTGCTTCACGGCTGGTGCTGTGGCGGGAGTGACTGGTGAAGTGAGTCAAGAGCAGTGCTGGTGACACCGTATGGTATCAGATTGCTGAAAGGATGTGCCCATGCAGTTCCCACAATGTTCCCACCAATGCTGCGGACCACATTGGAGTTGCGAGTTGTTCGGGTCCTGTACCGACCACGTGGTCGTCTCTTCGGATGGAAGGTGCAACACAGAGCGTCCTTGCTCCTAGTAGTAAGGCCAGGAGCCCCTAGTAGCGTCCTTTGCTCCTAGTCATCTGACCACAAGTTACGGCGATGTGGTGAGCTCATAGCCGCTGATGGGGCGATGTGTGCTTTGTCGCAAGCTTTCACCATGACGTGATTGGTTCTGGCCGGACCTGGCACGTCTTTGCCGCTCCTGCTTCTGTGAAGAAATTCTGCTTCTCAGCAAAATGAAGTTGGCACTTTCACAGCTGGCAGCTGGTGAGTTCCTACTTGTGAACTGAGTGAAATGTGTTGCCTGACTCTGATGGAACAAAATATATTGTGACGTGAGTGGTGGGTCTTTGCCAGTGGTGACAGCGCCCACATGGACACTCTCACTCCCACCGAAGTGCTTGGAAACACATGGACATGTGTAGTTTCAAACCATTGGTGAAAGGATTCTTGTCGGGTTCCTGCATCGTGCGTTCTGCCTGTGAAAGTCACGTGACGAGAGCGACACCATCGCGCCGAGCATCGCATCGCCCGTCCTCGCCCGTCATCGAGAGCGACAGCTCGAGGGGAGGACCGGCGAGCTGGTCACCCTGAACGAAGACAGGCCCGTTTTTGTTTGTCTGCAATGGCAGAAGCCAAGCCAATGAAACTCTGCAAGTAGCTATGGCTGATGTGTCCCACTCAGTGGCGAGCATCATCTGATGCATGGTCACCCATCTGGCACGATGGGCCAAGCTTACCCCATGTTATAGTTTTTTGCAAGCAACACTCATCTGAACATCTGAACAGTATGTTGCTTTGGATTTCGTTAGCCTTGCTTCTCAGATCTTTGTAGATTTCTCTCTCTCTCTCTCTCCCTTACAAGCCAGCCAGACCACATCCGACCCATCATCAGATGGAGGGACCTGAGGCTCACTGGCTCACCCACCACGGGTTGAATGCGTTGTGCCATCGCCAGTTCTAGGTCCGCCATGTTCCAATCCGTTTGAACTGGTGCCCTCAACGGACCGCTGTCCGGGACACCCGGTCCTTCTCCCAGCGATGCCAGGTTGTCCACTTTGCAGTTTGCAGTTGGTGCTTTCTTGAGACTCTCTGCAGTACTAATCCTTCCTAAGCATGCGTACAGTCCAGCGGCCTGAAGGGCTATGGCTCAAAAATAAGGCACTGCCAAAACCCACCGGTAGAAGAAATGGAGTTACAGTATCCTGCCACTAGATCCTCAGAGCATCCACCAAGCTCCTGCCCTCGTCACTGACTCGTCCCCCCAAATAGCATCCTGCTCGTTGCCCTCTCTAAGGACACTACCAGTTGGCTGGATGACCTTAGATCGATCAAATCACTTCGCGGACCACAGGGCGGTCCGCCCCTTGGACACTCGCGAGCAGACTGGCAAACTTCGGAAATGGAGCGCGACTGACATGCATGTGTCCACCACCCCAGCGCTGTTTTGCTCAGATCGATCACGGTCTGTCGTCGCCTCCCGGGACCAAGCTGCTTGGAAAGCCCCAAATTGGGCGCCCAATCTCCTTAGCCTTCAAGGCTTGCAATAGTAGCAGCGTTCTGTGGCAGTATACTGATATTGTGGTACGACATCTGGAATTTTTGTCTATTGGCCTAATCTGTCGCAAATCCTATGGCAGGCAGTGAACAAAGGCTTTCCACCGCAAATGGTGAGAATTGGGTGGTGCAAGCTCCATTGCAGATGGATGTGGATCGATTGCAACTTAAAGTAAACCAGTGGTTCCAAGCTCCTAATTCTTTGTAAGGGCCATCGTCATAGGTCCATTGAGGCTCTTCCAATCACCGGCATCTACAATGAAGCTGCACTGAAGAACAGATAGCTGCGCTGAAAGCAGCGTCCCTACAACCCTGGGCCCTCTCTTTAAACGGCCCATTGTCAGTGACATGCTCTACGCTCACATGCCCAATGCAAAAGGAATCCTCTTATGTTTCAGAGTAGGGCAGGTGAGACAGACACATCAAGAAGAGTTGAAGGGGCAATGGCCTCCCTGGAAAATCCCCTTTCGGAACAAGCACTGTTTGGTGGGTCACTAGCAAAGCTTTCACAGGAACCGCTCGTGCCATGAACCGCTTGCAGCTTTAGAATGTTCTTGCTTATCTTGATGACTCCAAACAGGTCTTGCAGGGAAGCAATTGAATGATGCTGCTTCTTCATGCCTCCAAGTCATGATACGTACCTCCTAAGCTTGTCTGCCAGCCAATGGCAGCCAATGATATAGCAAGAGTTAGTCTCCTCGCTCCATCAAACGATGCAGCTAGGTAACAGATCCGGGCCAGAGCAGCACCATTGGAGTACGACTTATATAATCAAACAAAAACTGTTCGGACTCGATTGCAGGCCACGGATCTGCAAGGACATTTATCAAAGGACATTTGGGAAATTATGAATAAGAAAGTGATTGGTTTCAGCGACATCAGCTTGTGGCTGTCGTTCGCTGCCTTCTCAGGCCAAACCCAACCTAAGTGTCAGCATCTACACAGATCAAACTGTTCAGGCTAAACATCCGCATGTTTACTACTAGGAACAAGAAGCTACTAGGGGCTCCCAGCATCGCTACTAGGAACAAGAAGCTACTAGGGGCTCTAGTGCTCGGGGAATCTACAAAACCTTGACCTCTTTGGACTCCTAAAAGCCCGCCGGGCCGCTGCTCGATGGCATCCTTTCCAGTGAAGTTCTGGGCGGCAATGATCCCAATCGTAGCGAACCTTGGAAAAGAAAAGAAAAACGAAAAAATTGAAATATTAAGGCATAATGAGATAAATATATATATATATGTATATGGCACCCCTTCTGTGTATGTGTATACATATATATGTATATATATATATATCAATATATACATCCATATATATATATATGCGCTTATATGCGTGTAAAAGAATGCGAGGTTCTTTGCAGAAAGCTAATTCAAACAAGTCTCATGGCAAATCGCCCATTGTTCAGCTCTCCTGCAAGCAACCGGGAACTGGCAAGGGCAACTGATGAGCGGCTGTTGCAGAAACCTGGGACATCCGCCTGACCAGTCAGAATCCAAGCTACTTGACACGTTCGAATCTGTTCAATCCAAGAGGCGGTTCCGCATTTCTTCGTCGTACATGCCCAGGCCCAACCTTTGCAGCTCTGCCCCCGCGCACGCAGAAGCGAGTCCGAAAGGACAGAAAAGGATCTGCTCTTAGTAGCTTCTTGTTCCTAGTAAGGCCAGGAGCCCCTAGTAGCGTCCTTGCTCCTAGTAGCGATGCCCTTTGCTCCTAGTAGCTTCTGGTCTGTCTGATTAGAGTGACTACTGTCTTCTGTCTGCATTGGAAAAAAGGAACCAAGGGCATCCAAGAGGCGGATCCCCGAAGTTGCCAGGCTCCTTGTCTTCCTCCTGGTGCAACAAGCCAGTGAGCCATCTCATGATCCATGCGGCTTTAGCCTCTGGCAAAGCCTCTGAACGAAACTGCTTACAACAATTGTTGGCTATCTTCCAATCTGCTCACTGACAGTGTCCCATGTCCTGTGCCCATATGCTGAGCTCAAGGAAGAGGATAATGATCATTAAGACGGCTCAGATGTGCTCAACAAGTCAAAGAAGCAAACTTCAGTCCCTTCTCTTGAAACTACACCAATTTTTGAAAGCCCGCCCCTACCGCTACTAGCTACTAGTTCGCTGCAAGTACGGACGCAGCGTGCTTGACGCGCACGCTTCTAATGATTTGGCTCCTACCGGGATGCACCCCCCTCCGATGCTTGACCAAGCCACTAAACTGGTAGAGGGCTGGAATCGTGACGATGGTATTGAACTGACTGCCCCAGTCCGTCCTGCGGCCATGTCCAATTGAGTTCAGGTTCTCCCCTTTCAGTGTACGACCCGTCGAGTATCTACATGTCGTCAGTTGGGAAAGCCTCTGTTGGTTGCGGTTACTCACTTTCCTAATTGGGCTTGAAATATACATGTCATTCTGTCTGGATGCTGACCCTCGATGAGGAAAAGCAGCTAGACAAAATGGAGGAAAGCGCCATGCCGCGCTTTCAGAAACAGTTGCCACAACCATGCAGCCAGTTGGAAAGAAAAGCTTCAGTTGGATGATGTTGGATGAAAAAATGCTGCAGCTATGTCAGCTATAGCTGACGACCCTCGAACCCATGCTACCGAGCCGGTGTCCCTGCCAGGTCGAAGCCAGGCAATCGCACATAGTGTTGGACAACGAAGCCCACCGCAGCCTAGATGAAAGGGCTTGAAGACCATCTAACTCAAGATCTCAAAGGCCCAAGGCGCATTGAGTTTCTCAATCAATCCCAAGTGCCATCCCAAGTACGGCAGGCAAGATGAACAGAATGAACAGAATGAATCAGTTTTGTTCCCATCGCTGCCACCCCTTCTATTTCATTATTTGTTCAGCGACGGCCATCCATTCGTCATTGGCTTTGTCTGAGCAGAAATCAGTCGAGTCCCAGCACGAGGGTTGTGACAACCACGATTCCGAGAACCAGGGACAACCAGGGATGCAGGAAACCTGGGTCTTCTGGCGCCTTCATGATTTGTCATTTCAGGAGAGTGGAACCGGAAAATGCCGTGACTTCGCTGGTACCAGGTTACGCCAGATCACAATCACTGGGTCTTCCTTGAGTCTTCCCACCCAGGCACAACAGGCAAATCCACCTATCAATGCAACATCTCACATCTCTGCTTGACTGTTTGTTCTCCATCCACAACGACGGACCACTGAGAGAACAGCTGCAATAAGAGAAAAAGAAACGCCGCTGCTTGTGCCAAGTAACTAGCATGCACACACGGCCATGCTTCAGCTCGGCCGCTCGCTTGAAGCGAAACCTCAGGCCGCTCGTCTGAGACGGAGCTCCATGGCATGGGAGTCATGTCCGTGGCCCTTTGCACCAGCAACCGATCGATCTGATGAGTCTTTTTCAGCGGGAAGGAGGAACAACAGAGCCTGATCCCATCGTTCACCCAGGGACCCTTCGTAGTCCCCAAGCTTCGCAAAGCCCAAGGGGTCAAAGTAGCCGAGTGGCTCCTTGGTCAAACCCAGCACATAAGAGTGCTATGTAAGTCTGTGTTCGAAAATGTGTCTGGGCTGAATATTCTGAAGATTGATTCTGCATGATTCTGCTGTAGCATGGTCAATCTGGAAAGCCTGCAATGAGCCGGCGATGGAAGGTGAGCAGAAATGGTGCAATAAAGGCTCGGTGATGCCAATCCTTTCCTCTGAGGGATCAAACCTGAAGCTGGATGCTGAGAATGGGCTAATCTCACTCTGACTACTGACTATGGGCATCGATTCTCCAAAAAGACTAAAAAAGACCACTGGTACCTTCCGGAACCACATTGAGTTTAGAGCCCCAAACAGACCCAACCTATCTAGATCTATCTACCCATCTTTTCCCAGAAACGCTAGTAGGTTGGAGGCCATCACAATTAGAAACAAAGAAAAAGAAAAGGAAGAAACTTGTGCCAATGGCTTCTCCCAGGAACGGCTTCTCTGCATCAACCTCCTCAGGATCCCAACCGTAGCCCTCGTCGCTCGGTAGCTGCTTCCTTTTTGGGCAAGGTCGATCGGAAACATCGTTTGTGCCAGTCGTTTGTGCGCTCATCTTCCTCCGAAACGGAGTGGAAATCAAGGTGCAACATGGTAGTCGGGTACACATGGTTGCGATGCCAAGCCGAATAGACGACAATTAATACACACCAGCCGAGCATCAAATCAAACTTTTTTCGTTCAAGCGTGTCCTCCGAGGTAGGAATTCGCACCGCCAAGACTCAACAAACTTCTTCACATCATTAACTCTTCTTTCACTTTGCTGTCAAACAAGGCATGACTCTCACCCTGTAGTTGTCTCCTCTGCATCCGGCACAGCACGTGCTTTTATAGCACTCGTGCTGCGCTCAGCTGAGAGGAGAGCCAGGCGACCATTGGCCAGCTCTGCATTCCTCAATCGATGGACTCACTCACAGAAAAAAGAACTAGACTCAATTGATGCCCACCAAGGTCAGCGTTAAGTTCGGAAATTAAAACGTTAGGTTCGGAAACTGCAACATGGGGCTCGGAACTGGGCAGGTTGCGTTTGGAAATTGGGAGCGCAGCGCGGGGCTCGGAAACTGGCTGGTTGGATTCGGAAACTCTGGTTGGGAAACTGAAAACGGGAAACTGGAACGTGGGTTTCGGAAACTCCAACATTGCGTTCGGAAAGCAGTGACGTGCTCTTCAAACAGTGTTTAAACAGCTGCTCACATGAATGTCACGTCAATACCCCCCAACCATGCACCCCCACAACAAAAAAAAGAGTTTCTGAACCAACTTTAAAATAGTTCTGAACTCGACAAAAATAGTGTCTGAAAATAATGAAAGTTCCTGAACCTGACCAAACCAGTTGCTGAATGCAACAAAACCAGTTTCTGAACTTTACTTTGTTCTACCGACCAAGGTCGACCATAACTTCGACACACCCTCCATTCAGTCATATTCCATGGTCAATGGAAAGCTTCTCCAGGTATCTCTGCCAAGACTCAACTTTCCTGAAGTCCGCGCTGACGTGCGCACGGGATGGAACTTGCTCCAGCCTTGCCCTGAAAGGCGTTTCAATTTCAATTGTCCTACACCCCTTTAAGATCCTTCAACTAGAAAATTCTGCAGGACGGCAAATTCAATCAAATTCATCACACCTGTTGCACCTGTTGCACCTTGCACACAGCGCAGCAACTTGGACCCATGGCCTTTAAAGGTCATCTCGGCTGGGGCAGATCGCTCCTCCTGCAAACAATCAACAAAGTAATCCCACCTGTGCAGAAGTCGTTCTTCTTACAAATCTTGCAGCTTCCTATGCAGGCCGTGCTCAAGTTCCCTTGATCTCTTCTGGTGAAATGTCTTGAGGCTTGTGTTGAGGAGTAGAAGTGAAACAAAACCGATAGAAAACCCTCTGCTTGCTTCAATGTCTACGTAGACATGGTACCAGTCAGTGGCCCGTCTGACAAATCGGACGCGTCTGGGCCACGTTGACGGGCCCGTCAACCCCCCGTCAGTCCCCACGGAGTCCCACGGAGTCCTGTGCCGGCGTCATCTGGGACATCGACTTGCTGACCGCTGACCAATCCTTGCTTGGGGCGAAGGCGGATCTCAACCGGCCTTTTCGAAACGGTGAACCGATATGCGAGCAGGAACCAAAAAAGAAGGGCTCTTGGCGTGTCAACACTTCAAGTGGAGAGCCCAAGAGCTCGGGCCAGGCATTTCAGCAGCACATTGTTCACACACGTTGATACTGCAAGGTGGGCCGAACCCACCCTGAGGAGACCTCTTGGAAGCCCTTGTCGCCAAGGATCAAGCATGCTGTCCGTCTGCACCCTCCTCTCCTGCACTTTCAAAGATAGCGGACCAGCTGATCGGCATTTATTTTTCTATTGGAAGTTGAGTATCCATACGACACAGGGTGGATCTTGGGTCAAGCTTGGGTGGGACAACGTGGGTACTGTGCTGGTTCCATGATTGCAGTGAACCCAACTCCAGCCACATCTGAATTGAGCTCATGCAAGTAGGCGGGTCGTCAGAGTGGCGCACACTCCAAGCTTGCCTAAGTTAGTAACAAGAAGCTACTAGGTTGGAGGCCATCGCTACTAGGTGCTGGCTATCGCCTAGAAGGTTGGAGTCCATCGCTATTAGGTTGGAGGCCATTACTAGTAGCTACTAGTAACAAGGGGCATCGCTATACCGATGATCTTCCCTTGTCCCAAATTAGATCTGTAGTCCCAGCAGTCCTCATCACGGAAACGCCGTGCTACACGAACCTTTCGCAGCTGCTGCGCCACTGCCACTAGGGCACCAGCAGCAAGCACAGGACCTCGCAGATCCTGACCCCAGCGCCGTTGGGGATCCATTGGCATCGTTCAGAACTCAAATCCTACCCGTCCAACCCATCCGCATTTCCTCCCTTGTGAGCCATTCCATCGCTATTAGGTTGGAGGCCATCGCTAGTAGGGTGGAGGCCATCACGTTGGAGGCCGTTTCGCTTGCTCCTTGTAGCCGCTGGAGGCTCCAGCTCCATGTCTGGTCGGTGGGTTCTGAGATGCTGCCGGAGACCCAACCTGGCGTGGAATGAGAAGAAAGAAGGGCACTTCACCATCTTCACCATGGAACCCCGGAACGGGTTTGGCTTCCGCAGAGATCGTAGATAATGATAAACCTTCACTCCCTCCAATTCTCTTCCCTTTCCCATGTTGTTCCCCTTCCTTTCCTTCCCTGTCCTGTTCCTTCTGTTCCTTCCATTGTTCCTTCCTTTTCTCTTCAACCTTTCCCTCCTTGTCCTTCCAAATTCTTTCTCCCTTCCCCTTTTTGCGCTGCTTGTCGGGAGGCCAGCGCGGATGTCAGTGTTTCTGCTCAATCTTCACTCTTGTGGCAACATCACTTTGTCATACGTTGTCTATGATGCATCCCTCGTCCCTCACGTCCCTCACTCACCTGCACAAAAGCGCCGCTTGAGCCGCTTGAGGGCACCAGAACCCAGCTCTCCATGGCGATCGTCGAGACGATCGCCCCAACCCGTTTGGAGTGCGATCGCAAGCTACGGCAGGGAGTCGGTCCAATGACAACGACAGGTCATACATGCGTTCGATATGTAAGAGGTGCATCAAAGGACAAACTATCCACACCCCTTACTACAGTAGCAGACTGTTTGTTGCACGTTTCTCGATTCCTCCAACCCTTACATCCTTTCCAATCAAATATCCTAGCGGGTATCGCGATTCGTGGTACAGAGCGTCTCCAAGGTGTCCCACAGTGGGACGGCTCTCCGCCATCGGGCCACTCGATCGGGGTCCTCTCAGGGACGCGCTTTTGGTCCGCTCGGTGGAAGGTTCTCAGCATTGACTCCATGATCGCTTCTTTGGACAATCGTTTTCTACTCGTGTTGCGCTTGCCAATGATCTTACAGACGATCTTGCATGTCACAAGAACAGCCTGGGCTGAACTCTTTGCAGGTTTCGTGATCGGAGCCTTTTTGAGGGGTGCAAGTACAACCAACAAACCTCAATCCGCAGATGCTTCTCCTGCCGGCAGTTGCGTTTTTCCCGCAAGTAGAGCACCTCCTCTGCGTTGCTTTCGTTCTCTTCAAACAGAAACCCATGGTGAGCGACCATTGAAAGGGAAACCCCAATGATCGTCAGTTTATCGTGTCATCAATCAAATCCTTTTGAGATCTTCTCCGCAGATACAGGTGCATGTCGACATGGCTCTTTCGGGTCGCTTGCGTCCGTCATCCTCACTCTCACCGCTCCTCCGCGGCATTGTATTTGAAGCGCCAGGAGGGGATATGTCCCTCCGGCATCTTCGTACACCTGGAGCGTCTCCGTAGCTGTAAGACATGGGTTCAAAACACGGAGACTCTGTGAGGTCCCAAAAAACGACTCGGTGTGAAGTTGGCAACAAAGGAATCGAACCGACTTAAGAGCTTGCCTGCCTGAGCCCCTCAGCACCACTCAGAGGCGTCGCTTTCCAAGCTCTAAACGGAGATTCCGAATCTTTTGGATTTCGTAGAATTGAGTCTATGCTAGAAATGGGTGAAGAGAAATATATAGTCCTAAGTGGCTGTGTTCTCTTCTTTTATTCAACCGTGCGTGATGACAAAAGGATGATGCAAGACGGTTGAAGAAAGTCTTGTCGGGCTTGAAGCACCTTGCTTGCTAGATTCTAGCTGCTAGTAGTCCCTCCGAGCTCATCAAACTCCATGGTCTTGAGATATACTCAATGCGGCATGCTCGCAAATCTTCTGAATCATAACACTTCTATTGTCACTGCTAGCTGATCATTCAGTGCAAATCTTGAAGACAGCCACCTCTTTTTCAAGACAAAGTCCTAAGTGCAAAGGAGCATCTCGATCTACTTCCATCGAACTGACTGCTCGCAGAATAGCTTAGAAGAAACTGATTTTAATTTGGGCTGCAGGAGAGAGGAAGAGAGGCGCACTGTAAGGTGGGCAGGAAGGTCTCTGTCAATCAAAGCCTTCCGCTTGCTCCCCAGTGCTCAATCAAAATATTTTGCGTTCTTTTGTACATTATTTACATTCAAAATCCCGAAGTCCTCAGCAAACCTGATTGTCCGAGTCACTTACCTGGTCATGTGGTGGAGTCGCTAAGGCAGGAAACCGGAGAACAGAATGTGTCTCAATAGGTCATCACTCGAGCAGCCACTACCAGTAGCAAGCCACTTAGGAGCAACGATTCACAAGTCCTCTTCTGATTCTCAGAAAATATGGAAAATATTCAAACAATGACTAAGGTGACCACTGAGAGACTCATGACTTGAATGTCGCGACCATGGGTCCAAGGTTGCAACCACCAAAGTAGCAGCTGGCTATGCTTCTTCGGATAACAGCAAAAGCACCATAGAAGACCACTCCACATTGGTCCTGTGTTCATCTGAGTTCATCTGTTCCGACTCGCTCGTTCGTCCCCGCAGTTCCAGGCCTTTCATCTCAAAGGCTCGGTCTGCGGAGTGAAGGGGTGAATGCCGAAGGAAGCGAATCATTGCTGAAAGAAATTGATTTCTCGGATTCTTGGAATTTGCATTCTTGGATTCTCGCCTGATCCTATCTTCTTTTATTTCTTGGACAAGGGGTCAGCAGTTCGTCCTTCGCATCTAAACCCACAGCCCTTTTACAACTTGGTCTGCATAGGTTGCAAGACTCGGGCTTAATTGGACCACTGACAAGCAATGATTGAGAGTTGCTTAAAAAACCTCGAGGTCGTGTTTCCGTGGATTCACTGCACCAATTGAACTGGGATATGATACCTAGTAGCGTCCTTGCTCCTAGTAGGGATGGCCAGGTGCCCCTAGTAGCGTCCTTGCTCCTAGTAGCGATGCCAGGTATGAGGCTAGCACAAATCAAACTTCAAGTCTCCTCTGTCATTCCCAAAGCAAAAATGATCCCTCTGTGCAAGGACACCCAGTGGAAACTCGACAGCTGCCCGGGTCGCCTGCCTTGCTGCCGAGGCCTGACGGCTAATTGCCACGTAAGCAGGTTGCTTATTAGATTATCTCCAGGGCAAACCACAGCCAACGGTCACTGGTCCTCCAAACAAGGTCACATGCCAGGAAGCAACAAACCCGAAGACAAAGCCTGATCCATGCCGATGAAAGTACTTGACACCTGCACAAGGCTGCGGCTTGTTGGCATCTACTTGCTGTGGACAAATCACATCAAACCATTCTCCCAGCTTTAAACCGTTCATCAGCGGCCTCCACCGGCTTTACAGGGAATCCCCTGGTCAAGCCGGCTAAATCGGTGGATATGTGGTCGTGTGTTTTCCTGTCGCATGCCAGCAGTACTTCTCTTGTACTCGTGCAAGCACGCGCTCGCCAACAACCTGGCGGTGAGCACCATTTCCGCCTTGTGGCATACAAATCCTACAAATCCTCGCTCACCCCTTCTTGCGGCCTCAATGGCCAAGGGAGCGTTAGCATCCAAGGCGGAGGAGGCGACCTTACTCGATGTCTTTCAGGTCAGGATAGAATTTCCGTGACTTGACTCGCCGTCTGTTGAGGTAGGTGAAGAGGAAAGTCTGAAGAACTCTGAGGAGTGAGCATAGCCAAAGGCAATGCTCTGCTGTGCCAGGTAGCCATACCTGTTCATTCGGGACTCCACCAGGACTCCGAGACCCCTTCCGACTCCGGGGCCCAAACCCTCCACTCGTCGTGAAACCAACCACTTCTCCTGTGCTCGGTGTGACGCTCAGCCACCCTCCCCCGCTGTGCTCCTCACGTTCCCCCTCCTGTGCTCTCATTGAAAATCGGCTCGTTGCCGGCACAGTCGGCGCCTGACATCGCAGTTGGCACAGTCGGTGAGGAAACCACCTCCATCACCGGTGTTGCCTTGCCTTCTGGAGATGATACTGCTAGATGAACCAGCCGCCTTGCCTTGTCAGGAGCTTGACAGGGAAACAGGCGGCCTTCTCAAAGCTCAGTCTGCTGCGGGTGTAGGGTTGGCGGCCAAGGCGTCTCGCCCAACAAAGTCCTTCCTGGCCGGCACGCTGCAGAAAGTTGAAAACACTGCCCGAGCTCAAGTTCCATCTGTTCTTTCCGTCCAAGAACAGAGGTAAAGAGATTACACAACTTATCAAAACTTGCTGGTTTGACTCCATTCTCAGGAACTTGCCACCTGAATGAGAAAATGGGATTCATCTCGCTCATCGGCTCCGCATCTACACTCAAGTGAATTACACACTCTGTCAATGTGTGTTAAATGTTCAACCTTTCAACCAGTGCTTGAAACGCGCAGAACCGGACTAAGCCTTGCTCGGGCTCCCGCTGATTCCCGCTTCCAGCGCCTGGTGATCTTTGGTCATGTCCTTGGTTTTCCCCATCGCTCCGTGGCTCCGTCTGCGCCGTCTCCGAGCGCCGACGGCCGCGCGGAGAATCTGAGGAGACCCCACCGAGCCAAAGGCCTTGAAGCCCTTCTCCAAGCCTTGTTCCCCGGACATCGATTCCGAGGCATCGATCCAACGGACATCGGTTGCGGAAGCTGTTGAAACGCCCGGTGGCGGAAAGACCCCATAGCGTAGCCACCCCAGTCATTCAGGCGCGGCTCTGCTTCCTTCAGGGCATTGTACCTGCGAATCAACATCTCCATGTTCGATTGATCTGAGAAAGAACCTGACCTCCAAAGAAAAATCAAGAATAACATCATATCCAAAAGAAAACTGAAAGATGAATGTGCTACACAAGAAATGGTATCTGCAAAACTAAGGGGACAGTGGGGCAACATCTGCAGTAGCTGGATGGAGCTCCCAGCCTTTGGTGAACTGTAAACAAACAAATTATTGTCATTCATTCGGTTACCTGGAGGCCATGCGATGCCCCTCATCTTCAACATGTCATGTCTTAGAGTAGAATGTAGACCACCACCGATACGCCTTTGATACATGTTGATGCCTTTTGACTGTTGATATGTCAAACAAGAACTCTGATCCTTCCCCCACGTGCTGGGCATCCCTGGCCGAGCTCTCCGGTGAAGGAGACACGCAAGGCTCTGCCTCCACACAACCCGACGGCCCCAGCGGCTCCACGGGGGCTGGTTTCACAGCGGCTCAATTTGGTTTAGGCTCCCAGCATGGGATACCCGCAAGCTCAACTTGCCGCCAGGCATAGAACTTGAAATTGTCCTGGCAAAGCAGCTTTCCAATTCAAACACTGCCTTCAACAATAATCAAAAGCGATAAGTACTGCAGTGATCTGCAATGTCCATCTCCTCACATGGGTTTATCCCTTGACGTCTTCCAACTTAAATCATCAAAAATGAGTTTGATATGTTTTGATCTGTTACCATCTTTTACCTACAGTAGCTAGCAAAAAAATGGTCTGCCGAGAAAATCGTCCATTCCTTCCACTGTCGCTTCTCCGATGTCGCTCCCTCTTCTCCGTCCCCTCGCACCTTGGACCAAGCTTCTGGGTCTTTGGCCAACTCTCCCAAGACCCGACGGCTCTCAGGGCCACTCACCATGAGCCTGGCAATGGCTCGTTCGAGCGCACTGTGAGAACGGACTGCTTGGGACTAAGGCAAAGCACGGTTGCTTGGGACTCTAGACGGTCTAGTCTGTGAAATGGTGTCTTTAAAAAAATAGATTGAGACCCTCGGTTGGTTGGTGGTGTTCACTTCGTACAAAAATCCATCCACGTGCTACTATTCTGCAAGTTCTCTGCCAGTAATTTACGCTCAAATCCACGAGGCTCTTCTGCTAGCCAGCTGAAAGCGATGCAAAGAGCACGTTCCAAAGTCGGCAGTGACGTTCTCTATCTCCACTCCCTCCGAAGGCTTGTGCATGTGCATCCATCTCCAGTCAAACAGTTCCTTCAAGTGATGGCATGTGATGCTCCCTCAGACTTCGAAGATCACAAGCAAATCGAGCAAGTGAGTGGCCAGTCCTGCTCTGGGTAGCTCACTACGTAGAATTTGTCCTCTGCCAAGCGAACCAGCATCACTTCGGAGCTGATCTTTCCCTGGCGAAATGCACTCCCCTCAATGTGCAAACTCCCTCAAAAGCTAGAGGGAGCACTTATCACAACCTGAATGAGATTAGGAAATCGATAGAGATCGACTGACGAATTTGCCGCCCCAAAAGCACCTGTGGCGTCAAGAAGTACGAGAGCGCACAGCGTCCGACATTGGGCAGCCTGACGGCGACAACTTGCAAAGCTCTGTGGGGAGGGAAGTTTTGTCCTCCTTCCAGGTCGTTTTCTTCGTTCATGTTCTTTTTCATGGACATGTTCCATGATTTAGACACATACAGTACACCAGGTGTACTAACACTGAAAACACCGAAACAAAGCTTTGCCCGCCAACAGCATCACCTTGAGTCCTCTTCCAGGTGCCTGTTGGGCACCAGGCGGTCCAGGAAATCCACGGCACCCGGCCCTGAGACGTGGTACTTGGCAAAGGGCCAATAGCCTGCAGTCATCACGTTGCAGTCAGCAAAAGGCAGTGGACTCAAATCCTCTGGTGAATGGCCTACTGAATGGCAAAATATTACGAAAACAAAAAAAAGGTGCAGGTCGACGTGCCTAGGCTTCTGATTCGTTTGTTTGAGTTCTGTGCCAAGTATGTACAATTCCCTTGAAACTGGGTCTGAACGGACAAGCGACAAATTCCACCAAAACTGGCCATTTCTTTACACTCCTTCTCCACCAAGTCCTGGACAAGTTCATACTCTTGAAAACTGCCTGTGTGACTTGCGTGAGTTGCATGTGTGCTTCAGCTCCAAAATAAAGATATCAAGTAGCGTGCTTTCGAGCTCCTGCCTGCATGATATGGAAACAGGCCAGACATGTGATCAAACAGGCCGGGTCTGACGAGTCCTTGTAAATGGGCCGTCTGAAAGAGCCTTTGGAGTTCCCGTGCTGTTCGCCGCTCATAGCAGGATCAAAATAGTTGGCACTTTCCCATCCTCAAGGCCAGGCGAAACAGCTTGGCTTGGCAATTGTTGGAATTATATGGCAACCAAAAACGCCAGCTGGAGCTCACAGATTCATACAGATTCCACTACTATTGTTGATCAACCATCCATTTTACCATCTTGCACCAGAAACTGGAAGCGGGAATCGGCTGATCCTCTCTCCAAGACTTTAGCCGCTTTAGCCCTTAGCCTAGGGGGAATGGCTCAAGCACAGAACAATCCTACATCATCCTACATCCATTGGCCCTCCAGGCCCCCCCTTGCCCCTTCAGCTTCGCTGTTTTCTCTGCCGGCTTTGGGCATCCTACAGCGCCGTGCGAGCCCGCTTGGCTCGCGTCGCGGTGTCCGTCACCCAATCGACGGAACCGACGTCGGGGGGTCCCGACGTCACGTCCGAGGCATCCAGCCGGGCAAGGAGGTATGCAACCTCCACGTCCTGCTGAGGAGTCGTCGAGGAGTCGACGGGGTCGTCATACCTTGCTCTTCGACTTCTTAGTTATTCAACACCAAAAACACGTCCGGCTCAACACCATCTGTTCGCCACAATGGAAACATTGGAAAACAAAGACATGATTCCCCCTGCAGTCCTTGGTGAGAGGCATAATGTAGTCCTGAAAGAGAGTGCCAATGTATTCTGCATTGACCTTATAGGTGGGATTGCTGTCATCACCTGACTGGTTGGCAATATTCTGCGAGAAGGTCCGTGCCTTCAGCACAACTCGCTGGATGTTTCGTTTCTCCACTTCCGGCTTAGTGATAAAGGCCATGAGGCCCTCAGTATCTTTGGCCCTGATCAGCTCTTCCGCCGTGTCCCGCTCGCTGCGGAACTTGGACTCCGCCGCGAAGAGTCCATAGTAGATCCGGGTGGACATGGTCTGTAAGACGTGAACATCTTGTACCGCGGTGGAGCCATAGTTTCCATCATCGCCCTCCTCACAAAGGGATGGGATCATGTTGGAACGGTAGAGCTCCAGCAACCTTTGATTCACTCGAGCTTCTGGAGGAACACGGGCCAATACTGGCTGCCTCTTATCTGATTTGCCCAGAAAAGGTTCTGGCAATGGCTCAAAGAAGGAAAATTCGGTGGGGTGATCAAATCGTCGAACCTGCGAATGTAGACACTCTGTTTGGTAGATGAACCAGTCACCCAAGCATCCGTTAGATCCTACAGATACGAGCTGGTGCAGCCTGAACTTCCCCAGTTGTGCATGCATGGGCTCGTAGACTGTTGAATTGGTCCGATATTGCGCCCGCTCAATGAGGCTAAAAATGATCGAATCCTCCATCCTCTGCAGGAGCCGCCGGATGTTGCCGAGATTCAGCGCCTGCTCTGGATTGCCAACATCGATATCGGCCGTGTTTGCAGACATGGCTCGACCGGCACTAGTGAGGCTCTCAGTCTGTCAAAGGCTGGACCGAGCAAATGCTGCAGAATGCAGGCATTCAGATCGTCATGCCGGTGTAGCAGCGTCGCGTGGTTACCCTAGCCCAAGCATGTGGTCTGTGATTTGGAGGTCCGAAAGAGCACGATTTGGGACAAATTCACTGCCTTCGTAAGCGAGCTATGAAGATGTCTCTTTTAAAAGAAAATGTGCAATCTCTCCTAACCAACAGGGCCGTGAAAAACATGGGTCGGAGAAATGATGTTGGACTGGAAAGAGGGAAAGCAAAGCTCCATGCAAAGGCTGGCAGCCAAGTGGGAACCAAGCTGGCAGCTAAGGCGCCGTTGTGAAAGCCAAATTGGCAGCCTTTGGACTTCAGCACCTCCTGGGACAGTTGAGATGATCTCACTCGACTGGCTTCGCGAGACCCTGTTTCGGCCAAGGAACGTAGATGCCCTGATTGGGCACTGGTTCCACGGGCCTGGCCATGAAAAACTTTGTCAGGTGAGTCGAATGAGTCTTGCAATTTTGGAGTGAGGTGCACTCCACCAGCCTTCCAACCAACAAGTTCTCGTTGGGAAAGTGCACGTGGTTATTCATGCCATAGGTCTCTCTGACCTTCTTGGCCACCCAGTCCTTTGTGGCCCATGCCCCATACCTGCCATGGACCGTGCTGCTTCCACACTGCTTTTTTCGTTCCCTACTACTGGTCCCCTCACAACATCTTCCGCCTGGCAGGATCTGCCTCCTTCAGCTCATAAGGTGCCTCGCCGGTGACAATCCACTCCTGCCAGGTGAGGGGAGCCCCCGCGGAGCCCCGCTCGTGTTGGCCAACGCAGACGAGACACTGAGAGGTATCTGCTTAGGCCAGCGCTGTGGGCAATACCATAAGACCTAGAATGCAACTCTGCGAAGCAAGAACTGAATATATAGTGGAGTTGAGCAGCAGGCCTCTCAAAATCTGTTGAAAAACAAGTATTGAAATAGAAAGAGCAGCCGCTGGGTGTCCCACTCAGCGCAAGCAAGCCAATAGTTCGGAGCAATGTCCCACTCGGGGGCAGGGCCCACCAAGTGGTTCCCATCTGCTGGCCACATGGTGGGGCCATTGAGCACCGTTTTCATGCCTCAACCACACAGCACCCCGTCATGACGCGTGCGAAGCTGCGGAGAGAGGCCCGATCGTTTTCCCAGCACCTCAGCTCAATTGTATACTTGAGTTACTACACTTGGAGCAGCAACCACTTCGTATCTACTTAGTGCTTGAAAAGAATCTTCCAGGTCGACAAGAGGGACCAGATCACAGGTCTCTCTAAAAGTGTATATAAATACAACATGATACAAGGAAAAAGCTCAGGCTGTCGTCTCCACGGGGCTTTGCTGCCTTCGCTTCTCTCCATACGGCGGGCATTTGATCTTCCAAAGGTTGGCGACACTCGTCGTTCTACATGACCGTCGAGAAGTTTGCAGGATTGGAAGTCGAGTCGAAGAGTTGTAGTTTCATCTATTGAAACTACAAACTCTTCAAGTGTCAGGTGAGGGACCCAATGTTCCATCCTTCACTAGTCCCTTCCTCCACTCCGCGCCTACTTCACCGACTTGTGGAAGAACTTCCATGGCACGCTCGAGGTGAGGCATGAGGCGCTCCACGTCGCCTTCGAACAGAAAGTTTGCATACCTCAGAGAAGGGAACCAATGAGATGAACCTGTCCACAGTTCTGCAGTCCTGGGAAAAACATCAGATTTCTTGTGGTGGTGAAACTTACCCATGTAACACCTGAATTTGTCTCCTCATCTGAGACCCCACGAAGGATTGTAGCAGTTTGCATATTGTATTGCCAAACCTGTTTGAAAGCACCTTGAGGATTGCTGCATGACCCTACCAAATTCCAGGTCCTTACAGAGTCCCCTCACCCACCTCTCACTCTTTGGACATGACTTCCCCCTTGGCCATTTGATATGCCCTGTTGCTCGTTGGGCATTCCTGTCTGGCGCCAATCCTCCGGTGCAAGCTGCATCGCCTCCGCATATTCATAGGGGCCAATCCTGGGTGACCGTTCCCCGTCACCCACCCGATCAACGCTATTAACACCCGATAAACGATTCCTTTGGATCGAAGTCCCTATGCCTTTTGCTAGTAGCGAACATTGCTCCTAGTAGCGATGCCAGGAAGCTTCTCCCCCTTGCTGAACCAGTTCTCATCTTTTCATCTTCAGTTCATTCATGCTCTTCCGAGACTCAGAATGCCATCGCGTTCATCACGGACGTAGAAGGAGCCCTTTAAATCACGAAGCACTGGCAGTTGGTGACCGTGCTTGTCATGGTACTCCTCCCAGCTCCATGTGATTCCATGTGCCACAAAAGGTCGGCAGGAAGAAAAAGTGGTACCGAACTCTCAGCATTCAGCCTTCTCAGAACTTACAGTACTTTGTTTAGATGCTTTTAGACGCAAATGGTCCAGCAGTCCTTCACCTCTGGGATGGCCTCGGTGATGCAGTACCTGCGTGTGTACAAATGAAATCAAATTTATTCAAATTTCAGATCCGTTTTTAACAAACTGCTGCAAATCGGCATCAGCTGCGTATGCTGCTCCTCTTTACTCCACAGCTTCCCTCGCGTCACTCAACGGCCCAGGACCCCAGAAACGCCAGGCCAAACCCACCGCACGGCCAACCAGGAAGAAGGAGAAGCAAACCTGAGGCTCTCTGAAATCTCAGCACATAGGCTCTTGGAGCTTCAAGGAAATTCAAGAGCCAGGATTTACCACCTTTCAACCACCCATGAGTCCCATGAGGCCATGGAGTTTAATCATAGGCCATATAGGAGCCCCTGCTGAAATCAAATGAAAAGGGAAAGTTGCACTGCAAGCAGGTCTGTATAGACACTACGTCATTCAGGCCAAGATGCCCAAACTCCTTCTAAGGACCCATTGAGCAAATCCACCTGCAGTAGCCCCAGAGTTGCCTGAGCTCAAGTTGAGGCAAAGCAATTCAGTTTCACTTGGTCTTTTGAACACTTCTCCAACTTGGTTCGCAACCTTGGAGGGTGAAACGTTGTGCTTGTCCCACCCGCAAGTCTCAACCGTTGCGAACGAAAAGGAGCTGCTGCCGTTGTCAAGTGACAAGGGATGCTGCTGCCATCGCAAGAGCCAAGTAGGCGTAGTCCTTAGAAAGATAAAAAGAAGAAAGAGAAGACATGAGGAAAGTCTAAAGAGAAGACAAGGAAAGAAACCTAGCGATGGCCTCCAACCTACTATATGGTTTGGTGAGATCCAGAGATGTTCAAACCCGATTCCAGTGCAAGCCAACCTCACGGCTATGACCGAGCGTCGGAGAGGCCTTGAAACAGCCCATCCCAGGTGAAGACCACACCTGCCAGTGGCTGTAGCAAAGCCACCACAATGATGAGGGGCGTGGCTGTTGCCTGGACAAGCTCATCATTGGTGAACCTGAGAGTGGAGAAGGCAATCGTGGAACAAATCTGTGTGGAAAGAATGCAAAAATTGTAGTAACAAGAAGCTATTAGGAACAAGTGCCACGCTACTAGGAACAAGTGCCATTCTAGTAGTAACAAGAAGCTATTAGGAACAAGAAGGCAAAAACTGAACTCACTCAGCACTCAGATGGTCCCATGCGATCCAAGAGACACGGCTGGGATGTAGCCTGCGAATGAGGCCAACAAAATACCGGACAGTGTACCACCGATGCCACCCCATTGCAGGAGCCGTCCAGACATCCATCGCGCTTTCTCCTTACCCGAGCTGGCGATGGCCACGGGCACCAGCCCTTGTGCTGCCACGGCAATGGAATCCAAGGCGAACAAAGCAAAGTACCAAACTCGAAGTCCAACCTCAGGTGGATGCCAAACAACTTTGTGGAAGCAAGGCCAAGCGAACAACAAGAACTAACCAATCTGGATGCCAAGAAATGCAATCTGCAATTTGCACTAGTATATACATGTGACTGCGCTTCACCGCAAACACAAACCAGGCTGCACCTGTGAACAGCGTCAGAAACGCTATTCTGAATCTGGGGTTTCCCCGTGAAAAAGGAAAGGGTGGAGTCTGCTAGACTTGGACTACAGAAAAGCATCCCGACATCGAAAAGGAACCTTTAAAAAGCATTAAAAAATCAAAATTTGTATTCAAACAAAAGTTCTGAATTGCTCCTTGTAGTGTGTTTTCCTTGAAGCTTGCCCTACGCTGCTTTTTAACCGATGGATTTCGGTTCCCCACCCTTTGCTTCCATCCTTCGCACCTGGTGTGCTGCAGCAGCCAACCCATTGGTGTCCAGGGCCACGACCGTCTTGGTCAGTTGCAGCAACACTGCTTGGAGGGAAAGCGTCCGAATGAGCTGTGAGAGGCTCCCGATGATCAGCGGCTGGAGCTCCTGGTCGTCACGTCACATGCGACTTTAAGACGTCATAAATGGCCTCCAACCTATAAGCGATGGCCTCCAACCTAATAGCAACAGTCTCCAACCATAATAGCCATGGCCTCCAACCTATAAGCG